TTATATTGACCCAGGGATTTCTGATCTCAAAGTGAGTCATCACCTTAGGAAGAGAACACACGATTGCCGAGATTGCTGATCATTCTCTACCTGGAATTTTCTTTAAAAACTAATGGAATGTCTACTAAAATCTGTAACTGTCTGTAGAAAATCCTGGTTAACTTTGGAATTCCCCTCCTCTTCCATGTGTTTGGAGCCCTGGTGATGCAATGATTAAGAGCTCAACTACTAACCAAAAGGTTGGCAGTTCAAATTGACCAGCCGCTCTTTGGAAACCCTATGGGGCAGTTCTATTCTGTCCTATAGGGTAGCTATGAGTCAGAATCAACTTGACAACAATGGGTTTAGTTTTTTTGGTTTCGTGTTTATAATAACCTTTGGGGAATAACCGGAAGGCCAGACTGCTGTTGATGTTTTTTAATATTACAAAGTTAGCTTCATAGTTTTGCAAAGGAGTCTGTTTTGAAATTTGTGTGCATGATCTCTGAGGTCATCCATCCATCTAGGCCCTGCAGCCCCTGCAGTGACTCCCTTGTCTCCTCCTCCTTCTCTTCACCTGACATATCCAATTCATCTTCAATCCCACGTAGCTTTCCTTTACATCCACTGCCTGACTTCCAAGGGCCTACTCTGTCATCTCTTAACTGGTCTCCTGCCTCCAGTCTCTCCTCACCCCAACCTATCTGTGATGCTGCTCTCTAGAGCACCAAAAACCTCCTCTCCTTAAAGTCCTTTGATGGCTCCAGATTCCTTAGCTTCACACAGAACACCAAGTCTTCAGGACTTGGCTCTTGCCTATCTCTCCAGTCTTATCTCCCTTTGCTTCCCTGCCCTGAAACTTATACTCAGGGAAAAAAAGTACTCAGGGATCCCCAAACTGTTTCCTACCTCCCTATCTTTACACAAATTGATCCCTGCCACAACACAACATTCACCGTCAAGCTCCGAGAGCTCTGACGCGTCCCCTAACACCCTAGACAGAATTAACATGCTCTCCTCTATATCCATAACTTAGTTTGAATTATTTATACACCAGTTTGAAGGAGCTCTAGTGGCACAGTGGTTAAGCACTCAGCTGCTAACCAAAAGGTCAGTGGTTCCCATCCACCAGCCACTCTGTGGTTGAAAGATGTGGCAGTCTGCTTCCGTTAAGATTACAGCCTTGAAAACTCTATGGGGCAGTCTACTCTGTCCTATAGGGTACCTATGAGTTTAGAAGTCCCCCAAGCCAAGCCCTTAAACACATTCAAGACTGACATCATTTACCCTTCTCCTCCCCTCCAGCTTCCCTTCAAAACTGCCCGCTCTCAAAGAGTGGCCTTGCTATTAGTTCTGGGGACAAAGACAGAAAGCCGGGCTTCATCTCATATCACACAGACAAATTACCAAGTATGGTTCATTTTAGTCCTAAATAGCTCCAACACTGCCTTTGGTTCAGATCTTCACCACTTTTGTGTTGACTTCTGGACTCCTTATCCCGAGCCTTAGCTAATCATATAACTTTCCTGTTCACAATTTTGATGGCATGGTCAGATCCTCCTCCCTCATCCCCCACTGTCAACCAATCACCAAGGACTACCAATTTACCTCCTAAATATCATTTGACTTCAGGTCTCTCAAAAAAAAAGAAAGATAAAATTTTCACAAAGTAAACCTTACTACATAAGATGATTTCTCATATTTTCTATTCAAATTTTTTAAAATGCTATTTTGCTCCACTAAATTGATTTCAAGGTCCACTCATGCATTATCAACCAAAGCTTGAAAAACATGCATGAAATTATGAGCTCATTGAAAGTAGGCATGTTATCTTTTCAACCGTAGATCTCCAATGAATGCCCAACGCTTTTATTTCGTTAGGTGCCATCAAGTCGGTTCTGACTCATAGCGACCCTATGCACTACAGAACAAAACACTGCCCAGTCCTGCACCATGCTCACAATCGTTGTTATGCTTGAGCCCACTGTTGCAGCCACTGTGTCAATCCATCTCATTGAGGGTCTTCCTCTTTTTCGCTGACCCTCTACTTTACCAAGCACGATGTTCTTCTCCAGGGACTGATCCCTCCTGACAACATGTCCGAAGTATGTAAAATGTAATCTCGTCATCCTTCCTTCTAAGAGCATGGTGGTTGTACTTCTTCCAAGACAGATTTGTTCACTCTTTTGGCAGTCCATGGTATATTCAATATTCTTCACCAACATCACAATTCAAAGGAGTCAGTTCTTCTTCGGTCTTCCTTATGCATTGTCCAGCTTTTGCATACATACGATGTGACTGGAAATACCATGGCTTGGGTCAGGTGCACCTTAGTCTTCAAGGTGACAGCTTTGCTTTTCAACACTTTAAAGAGGTCTTTTGCAGCAGATATGCCTAATGCAATGTGTCTTTTGATTTCTTGACTGCTGCTTCCATGGGTGTTGATTGTGGATCCAAGTAAAATGAAATCCTTGACAATTCCAATCTTTTCTCCATTTATCATGATGTTGCTTATCGGTCCAGTTGTAAGGATTTTTGTTTTCTTTATGTTGAGGTATAATCCATACTGAAGACTGTGGTCTTTGATCTTCACCAGTAAGTGCTTCAAGTCCACTTCACTTTCAGCAAGCAAGGTTGTGTCATCTGCATATCGCAGATTGTTGATGAGTCTTCCACCAATCCTGATGTCCCTTTCTTCTTCATATAGTCCAGCTTCTCGGATTATTGCACAGCACCCAACACTTAGTTGGCATTAAGTCAGCATTTCCTGATAGACAGCAGAATGACTGGATGTTCTTCTCAACAGAACTGAGAGCAACTCAGGTTACTCTGAAAGCAAAGTTCAGAGGCAGGCACAGAGCCAGTACTCAAATGTTTGTTGAGGTCTACTAGCTAACAATACAATTTAATATAGCACTTCACAAATAGGTTTTATAATAAATAAAACATTTCTCTTTGTTCTTGGTAATAAAAATATTCAAGTTAGAAATTTTAATTGTAACAACTTGTATTTGTCCACAAAAACGTGATGTTCCCTGGAACAACCTCCCACTTCACAAATGTGAAGGGTTTTCTCCTCCCAGAATTCAAAGCCCAGCCTCCATGTGCCAGGAAGGAGACAAAACATACTAACAGGTGACTCTTTTACCCCCAAACCCCGACCCTCCAAACTTTCATTTTTCTTAAGCAGAGACATTTTGACATTGTCAGATTACAATCAATTTTTAAACGAGTCCATCTTCTCCCTTTCAAACATATTGGCTAATGGTGTCAGAAGAGCTGAAATAAGGCCTGTGTGATCTCATTACTACAATGCTAATGATTTGTATTTTAAAAAAAAAAAAAAGATTCTGAAGACTTTTCTACCTCACAGAGCTGTTATAGGATTGAAATGAGAAAGTTCTTTGAGAAGGGATCAGAAAACATATGCTTCTTTTACAATGATGTGCAAACCTGTCTTTAGAGAAAGAAAATAATATCCACAAAACCCTAGCCATGAACAAATCTCATTTAAAAAAAAAAAAAAAGTCCCCTTAACTTCAAAGGCTTACCAGTTTCTTACTTCACATTTGGAACTACTGCCCATCTTTTCCAAAAAAAACCCATGGCTGCCCATTCTATGAAACTGAAAACAGTTTTCTACCGCTGGCAGATTAATTTTTCCACTTGGCTAAAGAAATTTTGCTTTTTGGTTTAGTTTATATTTATTAAGATCTTCTAAATTGAGCATGTGGAGGGGGTGCTGTCTTGGATATTGCCACTTCTTTTCCATTCTCTTGACCTCTCCTGAGCTGTCTTCACTTGCATACTTAATTTTGATTATGGGTCCAATGGAGAGACACTGACAAAACAAAACCAAACAACGAAACTATGGGGGAAGTGGAAGTAGCGGTGGAAGCCAGCACTGAGGTGTACTTCACCCAGCATTACCTCTTGAAAGGGAGTTTAGAGACTGCTTTTTTCTTTTTATGTGAATTTATTTGTATTAGTGTTTAATTATACAACTAATTCATGAATCAATTTTACTCATGAAATAATTAAGGACTGCAGATAAACCTAATGTTCCTACTGGGGCCCACTCCCTACTCTGAGAACTGGTGTGTGCTGTATCCCTCCAGATCTCTTATCTATTTTATTTTTTGAACATTTTATTGTGGTTTAGGTGAAAGTTTACAGAGTAAATCAGCTTTCCAATCAACAATCCACACACAGCCTGCTCCTTGACAGGGGTTGCTAATCTTGGATATGGCAGCACTCTTCCAGTTTCCTCCTTGGTTCCCTGTGTCCATTCACCCAGCTTTCCTGCCCTACCTTCCTGCTGCTAACCAAGAGGTCAGCAGTTAGAATCTACCAGCTGCTCCTCTGAAGAAAGATGTGGCAGTCAGCTTCTGTAAAGATTTAGTCTTGGAAACCCTATGGGGGTTCTACTCTATTCTATAGGGTCGTTATGAGTCGAATGATTGGATGGCAGTGGATTTTTTTGTTTTTTAACCTTCCTTCTGAACTTTGCTTTTGGGCAAATGCTGTCCTTTAGGTCTCCCATAGTTGATTGTTCTGAAGTATGCATTCCTCACTGGTGTTACTGTTAATTTTATACGCCTGTCTATTGCCTCCATACCTCTTCCTACCCATTTACGAACAACTTTGAAACTTTCAGGAATGTGAAAACTACGTGCTCTCTCCACTTCCCTACACACACACCAGAGCTTCCTCTGACAGTGGAATGCGCTTTTTCCCCTTCCTAACATCAACCTCCGAATCGACTCCACGGCCCCTGGTTTAACCCCAGCCTGTGACCCGGCCACCTCTGGACTCCCGTTCCTTGCTCTCCAGAGCCCTATGACCCCCTGTCCTCTCTCCTTGCTCCCCAGGACCCGAGGTCCTTGCTCCCTCTGCTCATGCCCTGGGACCCCAGGCCTCGCTCCTCGGCCCCGGGCCCCGGCCGCCGCTCCAGACGCCAGCACCATCAGTGCGCTCTCGGGGATTGAGCAGCGCCCTTGGCCCCTCCAGCGCCGCCTTACCCGCCGTGGACCGAGACTGCAGGACTGTCGGACACCCCAAGCAAAGCAAACCCAGCTCGGCAGCGCCATCTTGGGCCTCCTGAACTTGGGCCGGAAGACTGCCGGGTGCAGGGGGAGGGTCCAACATAACCAAGGGTACCTCCGACTGAGGGGGAGCTAGGGCGGCGCACGCCGCCCTGGAGCGGCGCCGGCGGTGTCCCGCGCGACTCCTGGGCTGGAGCCCAAAGACACTGCCTCGTGCAGACTCTCCGGTGCTTTTTCTTGCACTCTTTCCACCCTTGCTCTCTTTCCACTCTGTCTTCCCGGAGTTTTCTGTAGGGCGGTTTCGGTGTCCTTGTGTAGGAGAACCTACCATAAGAAGGGGGTTACAGATTACATAAACATGCGAAATATGCACACTGCTCCGGAGTGCTTATATTTATATATATATATATATATATTCTGGTTATTTTTTTATTCCTTAAACGTGTGTTTAAATTCGTGGTTGGTGTGGCGATTAACTACATATTATCAGAATAATAATGTATTGGATTTGATCTGGAGAGCGGAGACCCCTAAATCTTTTAGGGTTTAGCCACAGTAAGGAAAGCCAGGATAGGTCCAATTTCCCGTTCCCCTAGTTATGTGATAGAAAAATTGGCACAACAGCCTTTCTGCTGATTAGTAAGTGTACCTAAGTAGAACAAAGAACGAAATGCTCCGTGATGCATGTCATGTGATTTAAGCTAAAGGTTAGCTGTCCTGGTGTTAGGTGACCCTAGAGGCGGAGGACACCTAATTAATTAGTACTCAACCAGTTTTCAGGCCACTCCCAGTCACCTCCCCGCGACGTCAGTCACTTCCTCTAAGTTGTTTTGCAGACTCTCTGGAGAGTCTGGGATGGATCCAGATCTAACCGGCTCAAAGTGGTCAGACATGCGCAGAACAAAGCTGATCCACAGACCAGGCTGCCAGGCCAAGTTCAATAGCCCAAGCGACCTCATGCCGAGAAACTAAAAGATTCATATAAAAGAACCAAAATCACCGGACGTGGCGTCATCTGCAGTAGCCGAGCCCATTTCAAAAGCGTAGAATCCATCTGCCGCTTCGTGCCAAGTCTTAGCCCCACCCTGTAATAAATAATCAATAGAAACTATGAATATATAGAACTTCCTGATCCCGCCAACCTGCATTCCTCCACCCCTGTATGTGTGTATATGTAATTCCCCAAACCTATAAAATGTAAACGCTTCCTCAGACGAACTCAATCGGAAGTCGGATACCTCTTGCGTTCCGGCTTGCTAGCCTGCGAAATTAACTCTTTCTTCCTCTCGAAACCAGCATCTGAGAGATTGGCTCTTTGCACGCTGGGTTTGGACCCATTGGTCCACTCTCACTGGTATTGTCTTATAACCACCCTGTAACTATGACTCAGGATGGCATGATCATGAGTGGACCCCAGCCATCAGGTAGCCAGCTAATTAAAACCCCAGAACCAATCCTGTGACCTTTTTAACATGTAATTAACAGTCCCTTCCCCACTTCTGTAGTCCCATCTACGACAGTGATAAATTGATCTACTACCAATTACCATCTTGTGATGATTTTCTTTGTCCTCTATGGTATATAATAGACACCATGACCGTGATTTCGTGGATTCCTTCTGCCTCTGTACTGGGTGCGCTGACAGTCTTTCTCATTCAAATGATTGTTTTTGTCTTGGCTTAAAAATGTCTTTTGATTAAATCTGAGTCTGGGGTCTTTTTTCCCCTATGCCAGATATAAAACACAGCCTCACTTTTCTTCAGGCAAAGCGGCTTGAATTTCAGTAAAAGCTGCAGATTGTGGGTGGCTGAGTCTTTTCGCAGGAAACACCGCCCCCTACCGCCGAGATGCATCTTGGCTCCAACCATCCTCTGGGCTACACAGTGGCTAAAGCCCTCCACTGCCAATCCGCGGGAGAAAGATGTGACAGTCGGCCTGGTGTAAAGATTATGGGGAAGTTCTACTCTGTCCTATAGGTTGCTGTGAGTGGTAACTGACGCAACAGCTATAGGTTTGTTTTTTGGGGTTTTTCAAAGGAATTAATACGCACTTTAACAGAAATGTCATTGGGTGTTGCAAATGGTTAACTGACTGGGCTGCAAACTGAAAGGTTGCAGGTTTGAGTCCACCCACAGGCACCTCAGAAGAAAGGCCTGGTGATCTTCTGATGAAAAAAATCAGCCACCGAAAACCCTGCGGAGCACAGCCTTACTCTGACATACATGGAGTCTCCATGAGTTGGAGTCAACACCACAGCTACTGGTTGGTTGGTTGTTTTTTAAAGCAAATGCAGATCCTTAGTACAGCATTATTATATACCTGTCAACATGCTGCATAAACTCAGATTATATTTCTTTCATCACTTGTAAAATGTGAACAATCATACCTACCTCAGGATTATTGTGAAGATTAAAAGAGGGAGCATGTGCAGCCCCAAACTCAGTGCTGATAGCAAGCGACATTAAGAGTTTACTGTGTGCCTGGCACTTTGAAAGGATAAAAAGAGCAGTCCCTGACATTCAGAACCTGGCCTGGCACTCAAAGTTATCCATTGCCCTCCAGTAGATTCCAACTCAAAGCAACCCTGTAGGACAGAGTAGAACTGCCCCATAGAGTTTCCAAGGCTGTAATCTTTACAGAAGCAGATCCCCACATCTGCAGAGCAGGTGATGGGTTTGAGCCTTTCAGCAGCCAAGCGCCTAGCCTCTGCACCACCAGGGCTCCTTAGCACTCACAATTAGGCCATGTTATGCTTCTATTGGAGCCCTGATGGCACAGTGGTTAAGAGCTATGGCTTCTAACCAAAAGGCCAGCAGTTCAAATCTACTGGCCGCTCCTTGGAAATCCTATGGGGAAGCTCTACTCTGTTCTGTAGGGTAGCTATGAGTTGGAATCAACTGGATCGTAACGGGTTTGGTTCTTTTTTTTTTTCCCCTATTAGACATAAACTGTCTCATAGAATACCAACCCCAGACAAGTTTACTCTGAGACCATGATAAAATGAGACAATGCAAGTCCACTTCACAATTTTATCTAAGCATAGACAAAATCAAGGTCACTCTGCCACCCACAAAACAAAATACCAAACACCTCTTCTCTCAGCGTTTGACAGACACCTATACTGCAATGACCTACAATGACTGATGCTCACACCTCCACCACCACGACTTTAATGTGGCTGCCTCTTACCCCTATCATCAGGGACCAGCGTTGATGTCATTTTCTCAGGAAAAGTTCCCTTGACTACTCAACTTCCTACTAGGGCAGTGATAGTTCAGTGGTAAAATTCTCCCTTCTGTGCAGGAGACCCAGTTAAGATTCCCAACCAATGCATCTCAAATGCAACAACCACTCTGTCAGTGGAGGCTTGTGTCTTGCTATGATGCTGAACAGGTTTCAGTGGAGCTTCCAACTGGTTTCCATCTCTCTGCTGAAAAAGAAACAATGCCAATCCCGAAGCAGGGAGTCTTGCTTATTTTTGATGGGAGATACTGGAAAGACAATCAGTAATATCCTTAAAAGTTCAGGTTTGAGTCTGAGACGGTCTGGTTTTTGATCCAGAGTTCACTTGTCAGACTTCATGTCACAGGGTTTATGCTAGGTAGTTTATGCTAAGAAGTAGTGTTCTAAGAACTGGGTCCAGTCTGGGGCTGAAGGGATCCAAAGACAGCTTCATTGAGAAGGAGAAGACCTGATTATATTCTTTTCTGCTACAAAGTGGATTTCTGCTACTGGGCAAATAAACTTTTATCCGCTTTATTTTCTTTTCTCATCCATAAAATTAGGGCACTGTTATAAATTATCTCTAATATCACTTGTAGTTCTAAAATTCTGTGCTTTTCAAATAAACTAGATTTGGCAGTGTTATTATAAGCCACCTCGTGTGGTACTAAGGAGGTCATTGTAAAATGCTGTTAAGATAAAATAACTGATAGATATGTCTTTCTTTAGAATATTAGCTCTTATATACTTCTGGTGTTTGAATACTTCATCTAATTTACACATTTTAGAAGATTATTAAACTTTAGATTTTCAAAGTGCTTTGCGATCATTAATTAGCTTCTTCAATGCCTTCTGGGAGGGAGGCTAACTCATGCCCCCATTACATAGTTCAATTTGTTCTAATTCCGTAAAGTCAAGTCTTACACTTTGGAATTTGGGGTCTTACATTCTTTTATGTTCCAATTTTTTAAAAATAAATTATGGCCAAACAATTTGATTCAAGTTAAATCTGATGCTTCAATATATTCTTCTAATTATGCACAGATTAGCCTTACATGTACTGTTATACTCATATAAAGACAAAACAATTATGACATACATGGAAGTTAAATTATTTATTCCAGTAAAATAATGAATCAGGGTAGGGCCACAAAAATAGAACTCATTGTTCCTTGCTATCAGGTAATCTTCAGAGCCATAAGGATGCACACTGAGTCAACAGCAGCCCTCCATGCTTCTTAATCCCCCGTACCTCATACCACCTTCCCAGCTCCAACATAAGCAAAGGTTGCAAAGAGGTGCAAAAGAGGTTCAGTGAGTAGTTAAGTTCAACAAACACTTATTATGTGACTGCCGTGTGTTTATCACTGTGGTAAATATTAGAGATTGTATGTACATGTCTATCTGCATTGCATATGCAGATAAGCTATGCCTCAAACTTTCAGGCAGCCATTATGTTGCTAGGAATGAGACAAATACACCCACTGGCATCAGCCGTTCAATGGGTGCTATGTTCATCTGTGATTGAGCCAGACATGTGAGACACTTAACAGTGTTGGCAAAGTGAAAGCCATTATTACTGTTCATAGAAAGCAAACATTAAACAATAACAACACATTCCCCAAGATGAACTGCTTACCCTTCCCCAAATTACCCATGTCCATTCCTTTTTTTTTTTTTAATCATATTTTATTGTGTTTTAGGTGAAAGTTCACACAGCAAATTAGGTTCCCCTTTAACAACTTTTACACAAATTGTTCCATGCCATTGGTTACAAATGTTTACAATGCATCAACATTCTCATTATTTCCATTCTGTGTGTTCTGTTTCCATTGATCT